AGTGGTGACGAAGAACATCCAGCACATCGGCTTTTACTTGACCCGTCCAATTACTCTACAATTGAAAGTAATCTTATTTTTGCTGGCTTTGTTGGATTAAGGGTGAGTGCCTCAGTGTGTTTATCGTTTATTTAGTTCATCTATAATATTTTGTAATTATAAGCAAAGTGAGTCTTTTTAGTTTTTAATTTGACTTGAGTTTGCATCACCATTTATTTTTATAGGATCCTCCCCGAAAAGAGGTTCATCAAGCTATCGAAGACTGTAAAGCTGCTGGTATTCGTGTCATGGTTATCACAGGGGACAACCAGAACACAGCTGAAGCTGTATGTCGAGAAATTGGTGTATTTGGACAACGTGAAGCTATAAGTTCCAGAAGTTTAACCGGAAAAGAGTTCATGGCAATGAGCCGGGAGGATCAAAAATCCCATTTAAGACAAGATAGAGGACTTCTTTTCTCAAGGGCTGAGCCAAGACATAAACAAGAGATAGTAAGATTGCTCAAGGAAGATGGTGAAGTTGTTGCCATGACAGGAGATGGAGTCAATGATGCACCTGCTTTGAAGTTGGCTGATATTGGGATTGCGATGGGCATTGCTGGGACAGAGGTACCTACTTCGATGCATCTTTTCTGTGAAAAAGAATCCAAATAAGTTGCTGGATGTGTCATACATACCGTGCATTCTTTCTCTTCTCTTCTTTTGGGAAAATTCGTGACATTCCTTCTTCTCAACCCCAGTTAGGATTGTTAAAAATTCTCAATCATATTCGCTTTGTGCTGAGTAATTTATTTTCTCAGCCAGTTTTGAGAGTCTGGTCACATGCATGATTTGAATTATCAACTGCCACTGATTATATTTTTAAAACGGGCGTGTCTCTGTCTTTAACATTTGGCCACATGGAATTTATTTTTTCAGGTTGCGAAGGAAGCCTCCGACATGGTTCTGGCAGATGACAATTTTAGTACAATAGTTGCAGCAGTTGGTGAAGGCAGATCCATTTACGACAATATGAAGGCATTTATCAGGTTTTTCTTCCACTTAAGCAAGAATTCATCCATTTTCGTTGATTATGTAGTAGTACGCCTTTGGACATTAGTTGTTGGTCATTTGTGTTTCTGCCATAAAATATGAATGTCTCGAGCAAGCGTGCCTGTTTTCAATTATAGTTTCAACGCCCACAGGTAACCCATAGAATTATTCTGAAATCAAATTCAGCCGTCTTCATAGGATTCCAGTTTTCACCGTGGCTTTCAAATGCCAAAAATTATTGTAGGTACATGATTTCCTCAAACATCGGCGAGGTTGCGTCGATTTTTTTGACAGCAGCACTGGGTATTCCCGAAGGGATGATCCCTGTTCAGCTTCTCTGGGTTAATCTCGTTACAGATGGACCTCCAGCTACTGCATTGGGATTTAATCCACCCGACACCAATATAATGAAGAAACCGCCTAGAAGAAGTGATGACTCGTTGATCACAGCCTGGATTTTGTTCCGCTATTTGGTATTTGCGCATTCTCTTCCTTAACTATACCTAACTGTATAATAATGCCATCATTTCGTACCAAATGATATCGGTTTGTACATCCTACCAGATTAAAATCTATATTCTTACCTTGTTCCACAGGTTATTGGACTTTACGTAGGGATAGCAACTGTAGGAGTATTTATTATTTGGTATACACATGCTTCGTTCATGGGTATTGACCTGTCCGGAGATGGTCACAGTCTGGTCTCATACTCTCAGCTCGCAAACTGGGATCAGTGCCCGACTTGGGAAGGGTTTACTGTGTCGCCTTTCATGGCTGGGGACCAAGTCTTCAGCTTCGATTCAGATCCATGCGACTACTTCCGTTCAGGCAAGATCAAGGCTTCAACTCTCTCACTCTCCGTTTTGGTCGCCATTGAGATGTTCAATTCCCTCAATGCCCTCTCAGAGGATGGAAGCTTGTTCATAATGCCCCCATGGGTTAACCCGTGGCTGCTCCTCGCCATGTCTGTTTCATTTGGCTTGCATTTCTTGATCCTCTATGTGCCATTCCTCGCCCCAATTTTCGGCATTGTCCCCCTCTCCTTGAACGAATGGCTCTTGGTTCTGGCTGTGGCATTGCCTGTGATCTTAATCGATGAGATCTTGAAATTCGTGGGAAGGCTTACAAGCGGGTTGAGGACATCTCGCCCGAGCAGCAGATTGTTGAAGCAGAAATCAGACTAAACACATTGGAAGGTATGATCAACGGGATTTGAATTCATGAATGACAAGAGAGTGGAGAAACTTTAGAGTTCATGTTTCTGAAAAAGTGAAAACGAAGGAAGGGGTAGTATTTGCGGTAGAGAAATGAGTGGGTCTTGTTTTACGACTCTGCCATTTCTTTAACTCACATTTTTCATCAACATTATTTCTTAGGCTGTTGTGGCGGAGTGAACTTACATTGTTTTCGTTCATAAGAACATGATTTACCCAACTCCCCAATTACTGAATATTGATGAAGGATCTGTTTTTTTGTTACATAATTCAAGTGAATTTCATTCTTTTATTAGTGCCTCTTGCATAATGTTTAAATTTTATTTTGATATCAGATTTAAAAATCTTAATTATTTCTTACCAATTTGAAAAACAAGAGGGTAGAATCAAAAATTCAATAAATGAATGAAAAGAAAAGTGTTGCATTTGATGTTTTTATTATATTGGTTGTGTTGAAATCATATCTTTGTGTAGGTAAGCAATAATGCCTATCATACATCTTGAAATGCGGTTGGGATAAATTTTTATTTCTAATGATGCATAGTGCATTAGTTTGATCCAACATGTTGTACAAATTTTGATTTCTAACGATGCGTAGGGCATTCGTTTGATCCAACAGATCCAACACGTTGTATGTAGACGAATCTTGTAGCATAGAACGATCTTCTATTCTTACTCTCGTAAATATTTGTAACTTATACCTTCTTTAATGAACTTTCTCATTTAGTGTATCATATACCGCTCCAATTTTATAAGAAAAATCATACTCTCTTTATAGAAAGTGCCATAACACACCCGCATTTTGATTTTATTTGTTCGTACTCAAGTATTGATACATGATCTCTACGGTATCTAAATGCTTCGAATAAAAACTAACACTAAAAGTGCTTTTACGTAATGTTAAAATTTGTTATTCATAAACTTATATGACATGATTCTTGATTTTGAATAGTTTTACAAAAGTAAAGAATCTATCTAAACCACGAAGAAACATAAAGGAACGTTGATTAATAAATTTTCATATTCTACAACCTAATTGAAATTATTTTGAAGTCTAAAAGATATAATTTAGTAAAGCCTTAAAGTATTTAGCTATTAAAAAATGAAAATTAGCCGAGCTAGATCCTGTTCTAAGCACAAACCTTAGGATTTAATTATGATGCAATGAGTAAAGAAAACCAAACAAATGGGAGTGGGTTTCCTGTACCCATTTCTGATTTTGAATTGTAAAAGAAGAAGCCATTAAGGGACACTGGGCGGCCCACCGCCGCCGCCGCCGGCCACATCCTTTAAAGTTCATCTCCAAGTAGCCTTTGTCTAAAGCTGTGTTCTTATTAATTTTTCAGTGCTATGATTCAGTAACATGATATCAACTTTCGGTCTTTCTAGTGATTCTTATAAAATATTAACATATTTATTATTTATTTACTTTTATAAATATTTTATTTTATTTTATTTATAGGATATTGTTTATAGTTGAAGGGCTGTTGGTGGGGCTTTGCTGCCTCGAACAGATTTCACATGTGGAGAAAAATTTTAAATCATTCTTAATTTTAGTATAATTTAGAATCATGCGAAGATTAACACCTTTTGTGAGATCCCACATTAGTTGGTGAAGGAAACGAAACATTCTTTATAAAAATGTGAAAACCTCTTTTTAATAGATGCGTTTAAAAATTGTGAGGCTGATAACGATATATAACAAGTGGACCATATTTGTTAGAAGGGGGTGAGTTGTTATACCTACTCTGACATTCCTTTACATCTCTTAAATATGATCATGTTATCTAACTGTCTTGAAGTGCTTCTAATAGTGAAAACTATCTCCAAATATCAACACTTTGACACTGCTTCACGCCCAAAAAGAAGCGAGTTACGTCTGCATTAACCATGGAGATGGAAGTCTTCTTTCGTTTCTCGACGGTGAAGTAAGACTAAGCTCATGAGCTTATTATCCTAGGTCGGAACAAGTTGATAGGATCTCCTTTTTTACATCTCCATGTCCCTCCCGTGTGGCGACATGGGGGCGAAAAAAGGAAAGAGAGGGATGGGGTTTCTCTCGCTTTTGACATAGCGGGAGGCCCGCACGACGGGCTATTAGCTCAGTGGTAGAGCGCGCCCTTGATAATTGCGTCGTTGTGCCTGAGCTGTGAGGGCTCTCAACCACATGGATAGTTCAATGTGCTCATCAGCACCTGACCCTGAGATGTGGATCATCTAAGGCACATTAGCATGGCGTACTTCTCCTGTTTGAACCCGGGTTTGAAACCAAATTTCTCCTCAAGAGGATAGATGAGTCGATTCAAGTGAGATCCAATGTAAAGTTATTTCAGCATAATTTATTCTCGTTCACGTAATCCCTACAAAAATATCTTGGAGGCTAAATATAGGATCGCTCCAATCTATTTTGACTTGAAGTTTTGTATTAATTTGTTCGGGTCGTATTGAATTTATTTTATGTTTAAAAACATTGTATCGAGTTAGAAATGTAATTTGGTTTCCTTATTATTTATGAAAAGTCTCTTTCATTTTTCTTGAACATAGATTATAATGTCAGAGTTACACACGTTACTTTTTCTGAGTTTTACTAGCACGCATGTTGTAATGATATTCAGTAAAGTCGTGAAAGTTGTGTCACTGCAAAGTTAAACAACATTGAAGAACAGGTTGAAAGATGTTTACCTCATCGTAAAAGTTGATAACTCAATCTTCATTAAGTGATTTTACAACTAAAATAAAAGTACTTCTGCTTGTTTTGTTTTTCTTTCAATTCAAACAATTACAAGATAGAGGTTCGAACGTTTTAAGGTACAATAAGAAAAAAAAAAGTAAGATTCGGGAGGATCATGTAAATCAAGGAACGAAGTTAAGAGAGTAAGAATCAAGAAAGGTTGTCCAAGAGGCATCGTCCTCGGCCATGGCATTGTCGTAGCAGCTCCACGTCTCTATCGGTGAGCTAGTCGAGTTACTATTCTCAGCTTCTTCATTTCTCGCAAATCTCCCTCTAATGCGCTTTCTACTATCTGCCAGTGTCTTCCTGCATTCATACTACCAAATTTTCCAGACTTATAAAAATTATACATAAAATTAAAAAAAAAAAAAAAAAAAAAAAAAAAAAAAAAAAA